CACTTTAACTTCCCACCTAAACTTCCCACCTAAACTTCCCACCTAAACTTCCCACCTAAACTTCCCACCTTAACTTCCCACCTAAACTTCCCACCTAAACTGCCCACCTAAACTTCCCACCTTAACTTCCCACCTAAACTTCCCACCTAAACTTCCCACCTAAACTTCCCACCTTAACTTCCCACCTAAACTTCCCACCTTAACTTCCCACCTAAACTTCCCACCTAAACTTCCCACCTAAATTTCCCACCTAAACTTCCCACCTTAACTTCCCACCTAAACTTCCCACCTAAACTTCCCACCTAAATTTCCCACCTAAAATTCCCACCTAAACTTCCCACCTTAACTTCCCACCTAAACTTCCCACCTTAACTTCCCACCTAAACTTCCCACCTTAACTTCCCACATAAACTTCCCACCTAAACTTCCCACGTAAACTTTCCACCTAAACTTCCCACCTAAACTTCCCACCTAAACTTCCCACCTAAACTTCCCACCTCAACTTCCCACCTAAACTTCCCATCTTAACTTCCCACTTAAACTTCCCACCTAAACTTCCCACCTAAACTTCTCACCTAAACTTTCCACCTTAACTTCCCACCTAAACTTCCCACCTAAACTTCCCACCTAAACTTCCCACCTTAACTTCCCACCTAAACTTCCCACCTTAACTTCCCACATAAACTTCCCACCTAAACTTCCCACCTAAACTTCCCACCTAAACTTCCCACCTAAACTTCCCACCTAAAATTCCCACCTAAACTTCCCACCTTAACTTCCCACCTAAACTTCCCACCTTAACTTCCCACCTAAACTTCCCACCTTAACTTCCCACATAAACTTCCCACCTAAACTTCCCACCTAAACTTTCCACCTAAACTTCCCACGTAAACTTCCCACCTAAACTTCTCACCTAAACTTCCCACCTTAACTTCCCACCTAAACTTCCCACCTAAACTTCCCACCTAAACTTCCCACCTAAACTTCCCACCTAAACTTCCCACCTTAACTTCCCACCTAAACTTCCCACCTAAACTTCCCACCTAAACTTCCCACCTAAGCTTCCCACCTAAACTTCCCACCTAAACTTCCCACCTAAACTTCCCACCTAAACTTCCCACCTAAACTTCCCACCTAAGCTTCCCACCTAAACTTCCCACCTAAACTTCCCACCTAAACTTCCCACCTAAACTTCCCACCTAAACTTCCCACCTAAACTTCCCACCTAAACTTCCCACCTAAACTTCCCACCTAAACTTCCCACCTAAACTTCCCACCTAAACTTCCCACCTAAACTTCCCACCTAAACTTCCCACCTAACTTCCCACCTAAACTTCCCACCTAAACTTCCCACCTAAACTTCCCACCTTAACTTCCCACCTAAACTTCCCACCTAAACTTCTCACCTAAACTTCCACCTAAACTTCCCACCTAAACTTCCCACCTAAACTTCCCACCTAAACTTCCCACCTAAACTTCCCACCTAAACTTCCCACCTAAACTACCCACCTAAACTTCTCACCTAAACTTCCTACCTAAACTTCCCACCTAAACTTCCCACCTAAGCTTCCCACCTTAACTTCCCACCTAAACTTCCCATCTAAACTTCCCACCTAAACTTCCCACCTAAACTTCCCACCTAAACTTCCCACCTAAACTTCCCACCTAAACTTCCCACCTCAACTTCCCACCTAAAATTCCCACCTTAACTTCCCACCTAAACTTCCCACCTGAACTTCTCACCTAAACTTCCCACCTTAACTTCCCACCTAAACTTCCCACCTAAACTTCCCACCTAAACTTCCCACCTTAACTTCCCACCTAAACTTCCCACCTAAACTTCTCATCTAAACTTCTTACCTAAACTTTCCACCTAAACTTCCCACCTAAACTTCCCACCTAAACTTCCCACCTAAACTTCCCACCTAAGCTTCTCACCTTAACTTCCCACCTAAGCTTCCCACCTAAACTTCCCACCTAAACTTCCCACTTTAACTTCCCACCTAAACTTCCCACCTAAACTTCCCACCTAAACTTCCCACCTAAACTTTCCACCTAAACTTCCCACCTTAACTTCCCACCTAAACTTCCCACCTAAGCTTCCCACTTAAGCTTCCCACCTAAACTTCCCACCTAAGCTTCCCACCTAAACTTCCCACCTAAACTTCCCACCTAAACTTCCCACCTAAACTTCCCACCTTAACTTCCCACCTCAACTTCCCACCTAAGCTTCCCACTTAAGCTTCCCACCTAAACTTCCCACCTAAGCTTCCCACCTAAGCTTCCCACCTAAACTTCCCACCTAAACTTCCCACCTAAACTTCCCACCTAAGCTTCTCACCTTAACTTCCCACCTAAGCTTCCCACCTAAACTTCCCACCTAAAGTTCTCATCTAAACTTCCCACCTAAACTTCCCACCTAAACTTCCCACCTAAACTTCCCACCTAAACTTCCCACTTAAACTTCCCACCTAAAGTTCTCATCTAAACTTCCCACCTAAACTTCCCACCTAAACTTCCCGCCTAAACTTCCCACCTTAACTTCCCACCTAAACTTCCCACCTAAGCTTCCCACCTAAGCTTCCCACCTAAACTTCCCACCTAAGCTTCCCACCTAAGCTTCCCACCTAAGCTTTCCACCTAAACTTCCCACCTAAACTTCCCACCTAAACTTCCCACCTAAACTTCCCACCTAAACTTCCCACCTAAACTTCCCACCTAAACTTCTCACCTTAACTTCCCACTTAAGCTTCCCATCTAAACTTCCCACCTAAGCTTCCCACTTAAGCTTCCCACCTAAACTTCCCACTTAAGCTTCCCACCTAAGCTTCCCACCTAAGCTTCCCACCTAAACTTCCCACCTAAACTTCCCACCTAAACTTCCCACTTAAACTTCTCACCTTAACTTCCCACCTAAGCTTCCCACCTAAACTTCCCACCTAAACTTCCCACCTAAACTTCCCACTTAAACTTCCCATCTTAACTTCCCACCTAAACTTCCCACCTAAACTTCTCATCTAAACTTCTCACCTAAACTTCCCACCTAAAATTCCCACCTAAACTTCCCACCTAAACTTTCCACCTAAACTTCCCACCTAAACTTCCCACCTAAACTTCCCACCTAAACTTCCCACCTTAACTTCCCACCTAAACTTCCCACCTAAACTTCCCACCTTAACTTCCCACCTAAACTTCCCACTTAAACTTCCCACCTAAACTTCCCACCTTAACTTCCCACCTAAACTTCCCACCTAAACTTCCCACCTAAACTTCTCACCTAAACTTCCCACCTAAACTTCCCACCTAAACTTCCCACCTCAACTTCCCACCTAAACTTCCCACCTAAACTTCCCACCTAAACTTCCCACCTAAACTTCCCACCTAAACTTCCCACCAAAACTTCCCACCTAAACTACCCACCTTAACTTCCCACCTAAACTTCCCACCTAAACTTCCCACCTAAACTTCCCACCTAAGCTTCCCACCTAAACTTCCCACCTAAAGTTCTCATCTAAACATCCCACCTAAACTTCCCACCTAAACTTCCCACCTAAACTTCCCACCTAAAGTTCTCATCTAAACGTCCCACCTAAACTTCCCACCTAAACTTCCCGCCTAAACTTCCCACCTAAACTTCCCACCTAAACTTCCCACCTAAACTTCCCACCTAAGCTTCCCACTTAAGCTTCCCACCTAAACTTCCCACCTAAGCTTCCCACCTAAGTTTCCCACCTAAACTTCCCACCTAACCTTTCCACCTAAACTTCCCACCTAAACTTCCCACCTTAACTTCCCACCTAAGCTTCCCACCTAAACTTCCCACCTAAACTTCCCACCTAAACTTCCCACTTAAACTTCCCACCTTAACTTCCCACCTAAACTTCCCACCTAAACTCTCATCTAAACTTCTCACCTAAACTTCCCACTTAAACTTCCCACCTTAACTTCCCACCTAAGCTTCCCACTTAAGCTTCCCACCTAAACTTCCCACCTAAGCTTCCCACCTAAGCTTCCCACCTAAACTTCCCACCTAAACTTCCCACCTAAACTTCCCACCTAAACTTCCCACCTAAACTTCCCACTTAAACTTCCCACCTTAACTTCCCACCTAAACTTCCCACCTAAACTTCTCATCTAAACTTCTCACCTAAACTTCCCACCTAAACTTCCCACCTTAACTTCCCACCTTAATTTCCCACCTAAACTTCCCACCTTAACTTCCCACCTAAACTTCCCACCTAAACTTCCCACCCAAACTTCCCACCTAAACTTCCCACCTAAACTTCCCACCTAAACTTCCCACCTAAACTTCCCACCTAAACTTCCCACCTAAACTTCTCACCTAAACTTCCCACCTAAACCTCCCACCTAAACTTCCCACCTAAACTTCTCATCTAAACTTCTCACCTAAACTTTCCACCTAAACTTCTCACCTAAACTTCCCACCTAAACTTCCCACCTAAACTTCCCACGTAAACTTCCCACCTAAACTTCCCACCTAAACTTTGCACCTAAACTTCCCACCTAAACTTCTCACCTAAACTTCCCACCTAAACTTCCCACCTAAACTTCCCACCTAAACTTCCCACCTAAACTTCCCACCTAAACTTCCCACCTAAACTTCCCACCTAAACTTCCAACCTAAACTTCCCACCTTAACTTCCCACCTAAACTTCCCACATAAACTTCCCACCTAAACTTCCCACCTAAACTTCCCACCTAAACTTCTCATCTAAACTTCTCACCTAAACTTTCCACCTAAACTTCCCACTTAAACTACCCACCTTAACTTCCCACATAAAGTTCCCACCTAAACTTCCCACCTAAACTTCCCACCTAAGCTTCCCACCTAAACTTCCCACCTAAACTTCCCACCTAAACTTCCCACCTAAACTTCCCACCTAAACTTCCCACCTAAACTTCCCACCTTATGAATTACGATGAACTTTCTGTTATCTTCATGGTTATTGTGAAGTGGAGTCTATCGAAACTAGAGCTTTGAAAAAATGATTTAAAATTGCAATTCAGCAAAACAAATTAAGAAACGTCAAGAATAAAAAACAAAAGCAACTCGGAATAAATAAACACATTTTTGATAAATGATACGCCGTGCCGATACAATGAATGTTATGTCAGTGTTATGCAGTGCGAATAATAAAGTTTCTGTTTTCCGATAGGTTGTCATAATACTATATTCCATTTTTACAAATGTCTATATTACATCTACATATTATTATCATCTAAAATCAATTAAAAATGAACGTGATTTCATCTCATAAGCCCCAAGCGATCATAACCTTCTATTCGGGTTAATTTAATGTTAAAGAAATATCTTATGTTAGACATTGTTAGAAAGTTGTCCATGATAATATAACATCAGCCCACATTAGTTCGAACTTTGATCTATGTTTTTCAGCTATTATATAGTCGGATATTAGATATTTATCAAGACAGCATGTTAGTCAGAAATATTGCAGAAACACAGTGGAACTCTAAAAATTTATTTTATCGTCTGAAATGCTGGTCCCTCTAACTCCCCAAGCTAGATAAATCCTTGCTTTTAGTCGAGGGTAGGCCAGTTAATATTATCAGGAGGATTCCAGTAGACCACAATGAGAACGAGAAGAATGTAGGAGATATTGAGCACTACACTGCTGTTGCAGTAGTCTGTCTTACACAAGCTCCAGTCGCATGTCTCGTTCAGGGGCAGTCCTGTTCCCCTACACATCGCATCTGGGGGTTTCTTAGTGAGGGAGCGGGGGGGGGGTTTCTTAGTGAGGGAGCGGGGGGGGGTTTCTTAGTGAGGGAGCGGGGGTTTCTTAGTGAGGGAGTGGGGGGGGATTTCTTAGTGAGGGAGTGGGGGGGGGGTTTCTTAGTGAGGAAGCGGGGAGGTTTTCTTAGTGAGGGAGTGGGGGGATTTCTTAGTGAGGGAGTGGGGGGGGGGGATTTCTTAGTGAGGGAGTGGGGGGGATTTCTTAGTGAGGGAGTGGGGGGTTTCTTAGTGAGGGAGCGGGGGTTTCTTAGTGAGGGAGTGGGGGGGATTTCTTAGTGAGGGAGTGGGGGGGGATTTCTTAGTGAGGGAGTGGGGGGATTTCTTAGTGAGGGAGTGGGGGGTTTCTTAGTGAGGGAGCGGGGGGGGGTTTCTTAGTGAGGGAGCGGGGGTTTCTTAGTGAGGGAGTGGGGGGGATTTCTTAGTGAGGGAGTGGGGGGGGGTTTCTTAGTGAGGGAGCGGGGGGGTTTCTTAGTGAGGGAGTGGGGGGATTTCTTAGTGAGGGAGTGGGGGGGGATTTCTTAGTGAGGGAGTGGGGGGGATTTCTTAGTGAGGGAGTGGGGGGTTTCTTAGTGAGGGAGCGGGGGTTTCTTAGTGAGGGAGTGGGGGGGATTTCTTAGTGAGGGAGTGGGGGGGGATTTCTTAGTGAGGGAGTGGGGGGATTTCTTAGTGAGGGAGTGGGGGGTTTCTTAGTGAGGGAGTGGGGGGGATTTCTTAGTGAGGGAGTGGGGGTTTCTTAGTGAGGGAGCGGGGGTGGTTTCTTAGTGAGGGAGTGGGGGGATTTCTTAGTGAGGGAGTGGGGGGATTTCTTAGTGAGGGAGTGGGGGGATTTCTTAGTGAGGGAGCGGGGGGGATTTCTTAGTGAGGGAGTGGGGGGTTTCTTAGTGAGGGAGCGGGGGTGGTTTCTTAGTGAGGGAGTGGGGGGGGTTTCTTAGTGAGGGAGCGGGGGGGGTTTCTTAGTGAGGGAGTGGGGGGGATTTCTTAGTGAGGGAGTGGGGGGGATTTCTTAGTGAGGGAGTGGGGGGATTTCTTAGTGAGGGAGTGGGGGGTTTCTTAGTGAGGGAGCGGGGGGGGGGTTTCTTAGTGAGGGAGCGGGGGTTTCTTAGTGAGGGAGGGGGGGGGGTTTCTTAGTGAGGGAGCGGGGGGGTTTCTTAGTGAGGGAGCGGGGGGGGGGGTTTCTTAGTGAGGCAGCGGGGGGTTTCTTAGTGAGGGAGCGGGGGTTTCTTAGTGAGGGAGTGGGGGGGATTTCTTAGTGAGGGAGTGGGGGGATTTCTTAGTGAGGGAGTGGGGGGATTTCTTAGTGAGGGAGTGGGGGGATTTCTTAGTGAGGGAGCGGGGGGATTTCTTAGTGAGGGAGTGGGGGGTTTCTTAGTGAGGGAGTGGGGGGTTTCTTAGTGAGGCAGCGGGGGGTTTCTTAGTGAGGGAGCGGGGGGTTTCTTAGTGAGGGAGTGGGGGGTTTCTTAGTGAGGGAGTTGGGGGGATTTCTTAGTGAGGGAGTGGGGCGATTTCTTAGTGAGGGAGTGGGGGGGATTTCTTAGTGAGGGAGCGGGGGGTTTCTTAGTGAGGCAGCGGGGGGGGTTTCTTAGTGAGGGAGCGGGGGGTTTCTTAGTGAGGGAGCGGGGGTGGTTTCTTAGTGAGGGAGCGGGGGGGTTTTCTTAGTGAGGGAGCGGGGGGAGGTTTTCTTAGTGAGGGAGCGGGGGGGGGGGGTTGAGGATCAGTAGGCGGGTTATAATTCGCAATCCATATTATATCATATTGATCTGTGGAAAACAAATTCAATCTTATTCGTAACAAGAAAATTCTTGTTATGAAAATATGTAAAATGTATATTAATTAGTCCTACTTGTGTAATCTATCTCCGTGTAATTGTCCATGCACCCCCTGTAAGTTCTGTACTTCTTGAACCCGTACTGTACCTATAACAGTGGGAGATACGTAGTTATCAAGGCTGCAAAGTTTTGAGATTTAGCTGCTGTTAATAAGTCTAATAACCGAACTTGTTACACTTAAAAGTACTGATAGTGTTATTGGGTATAAGTCACAACACGTGGGCATAACACGTGACAACACGTGGGCATAACACGTGACAACACGTGGACATAACACGTGACAACACGTGGACATAACACGTGACAACACGTGGGCATAACACGTGACAACACGTGGGCATAACACGTGACAACACGTGGGCATAACACGTGACAACACGTGGAAATAACACGAGAGAACTCACGTGCCACTTGTAGCAAGCAGAGATCTGTTTTCCGGTACACAAGGTTCTGTTGCAATTATTAGTGCTCACTTCCAGCGTGTCCAATGTAAAGCAGGTCCAACACTTTACCTCGTGCTCTGAAGAAGTACAACTTGTTCATTCAGCTAAAGCAGCCGAGCTATAATTCAGATTTCAAGATACCCCCTTACATTACATAATCAGTTCTGAGGAAACCTAGTTAAGTAAGATAAAGATTAAAGAGTATAAGTTATACCTCTGTTGAGTGTTTCTTCTTTCTTTGCAATATTCTGAGTTAAAGGAGGTTTCTCAATGTAATGCCAGGCCCAGTTCTTGTCGGGTCTCACCTCGGCTGCAGCTACCTTGTCCTGACTCCACTGCTCGGTCCTTACATCCCAGATCGGGGCAGTGTATTGTTGTTGGCAGTATACTGTGACTGCGAGCACGAAGAGTGCAGGACTCACGTAACGCCACATTCTACCTAGTATTTATAAGTAGTTATAGTGGTATTAAAGATCTGTGCATGTTTACTTATTATGTTGAAAGGTACAACAAACTGAGGACTTGTAACTTAGGTCAATTTATTAACTTTTTACAGCTCCGGAGTTGATGAATGGTATTGGTTATTAGTTAGCCATTCCTAGCTCCTTGTAGATCACGAAGTTTCATTGTGTTGAAACACCGTTCTCCAGAGTTCAGATATGCATTAAGATTTTATAAGCTCACTCAACCAACGTTGATAACTTTGATTACGGTTATGGGTTATCGAGACAGTATTTTCTGGTATAATGCGATACGTATGCTCGATATTACCTGATAATAATATCACCTACTTTCTATAAAAGATCATGAAATTCAAATAATGAATTATGTCATCTTAAATTCTCTGAAATTTGAATGAGAAAACCGCTACTTTTGACAAATTATGCTCCACAATCATTAATAAAGATTCTAGCAGAATAATGAAATATTCTTTAATCGAAATGGACTATGACATGGTTTTTTAAAGCGTCGAACGAGCCGAAAGTGTAAAAATTCAAACTATGTTATTGGAGAGAAGAGATTTGTAATGCGAAAGAACAATACAACCATAGTGGACCAGCTGTGGTTGAGTGTGATATAATTGTACAGCGTGTATAGCTACTGCTCGCAGCAATTATTCCTTATATGGCATAATGGGAGCTCGAGTTGAGGTCAATTGTCCGATCCAAGGTACTGGAGAATGGTGAGTGGAGAGCATCCAGGTCTGGGACATCTGCTCCTTAACACGGGTAAAATAGTGGGTGTACTTTTAAATACCGCTTACCGCTTAATGACTGCCTAGTCGCTCACATGGAGCCTGCTCTAGTACATACCGCTGAACACAGCTAGTGACCTGAGTGGCAGTTCTAAAAACCTAATCTTTCCCTGCCATGCGACCTTATTGTGGTAAGTTAGACCTAGTTTATGTCTCCTACAAGTTCTACTAGTTCCTGTGTCCCTTGAAGATTTTACCCCTAAACCTTATTATTACCCTATGCACATCGCAAACTCATAAACTTGGTTTCAAATTCATATCACTTTAAATTAATTGTAAAATTGTAATTACAAATAACACAAATACATAAACGGTTGTGGTTTATAAGTAAATATATGAGATACGATTTGGAATTACATTTAAATCAAACCTTGTAATAAATTAATAAGATTTACTAAAATAAAATGCGAATAGATCAGTAGTTTTAGTCATATTTCTTGTATTTCCACGAAATACGATTATTGATAATCCAGCGCAGGGGTACCCTAAAGCATGGCTCAATGCTGGTCCGACGCTGTAATATTTGACTATTTAACTGTAGAAGTGTAGATCTAGTAGAAAATAATAGTTGGTGGTCTAGCAAGGAGAAGTGTTGCTGCAGCAGTGAATCAGTGTTCTGGATCTCAGCAAGGAGAAGTGTTGGTGCAGCAGTGAATCAGTGTTCTGGGTCTCAGCAAGGAGAAGTGTTGGTGCAGCAGTGAATCAGTGTTCTGGGTCTCAGCAAGGAGAAGTGTTGGTGCAGCAGTGAATCAGTGTTCTGGGTCTCAGCAAGGAGAAGTGTTGGTGCAGCAGTGAATCAGTGTTCTGGGTCTAGCAAGGAGAAGTGTTGGTGCAGCAGTGAATCAGTGTTCTGGGTCTCAGTAGTAGGTCCTGAACTTGATGTCTGATAGTTGGGTGCATGAAACCGTACACCAAGAAGTCTGCTAAACAGTTGACCAGTGGTAAAATCAGGATAGGAAATGCTGGCCTCTCGTCCTCCTGAGACAAAGTGTGTCAGCTGGCTGCCTGCCAATATAAATTTAATCTGTATTGAATTTTTAATCTTTTAAAATCTGGTTTAACATCTATTGTGACAATTTAAAGGGGAATGTTAACGTCTGACTTTTCAGTCAGATTGAGTCAGTCCTTACCTCGTGATGACTGGGTAGAGCTGTAATGATGACGAAAGGGAGAGTGAATAGGTAGAACGCTACGCAGGACATGAGCGCCACTTTTACTAACTAGGGTAAAGTCATTTTACACACTTGTTGTTAGTATCAATTATTTTTAAAGGGCTTTGCCATAAATATTTTGTGAAACAATTTTGAGATAGCAGTTTACCAACATCTCGTTGACCATGGGTTCCGTTTGGTGGTCAACTGAACTTCTGAGCCAAGTTTCACAAATTAATTATGGTGGACTCCCTTTCAAGTTTCTGAATAAAAATGTTATCGCATCAATTTTATGCTTCAAGAACCCTCCCCCCACAGATTGATCTTTGATACTCTATCTGTTTACCATTGATTGGCACTGTACCCCTACTGTACCTGTATCTGGTATCTGGTAGTGCCCAGTTTCTCCTGAAGCAATGTACTAGGTTGTTTAGCTAGCTTAGCCAGACGCATCATCAAAATCAGCATCCTCCAGTTATCACTTGAACTCTCCGACCCTCCCGGTACCTGAATACAGTGCTTTAACGACTCTTGAAGTCAACAAAATATTTTCTTGCTCGATGAACTTGATTGGAGGATATTCCAACAGGTCCTAGGCCTAATCGTACTCAATCTTACCCTACTCTGAAACTGTGAACTTGAAAATGTAGCTTGCATTGAATTCTATCGTGCCCCAGACAACCACAATTTTGTCTCGGCAGATTTAGTTGGCAATCTAGCTATCTTACCTCTCGACTGGACTGAAGTGGACTCTTTGGCTGGCTGGACGTTTGTTCCAATGTAGTAAGGGTCATTGCGGCACTTCTCCATTTGCAGGTAGCTGCTCCAGGTATTGGTAATTCCCGTTTAGTTGTTCTGCTGTTGTTTGACTTCGCCTGAAACGTTCTTTTTCGTCAATATCCAAACTTGGACGAACAATTTCTCCTCCGATAGTATACGATTGAAAGAGTTATGTTAATTTATAGTTTTTTGTGGCTTTTAGAAGAAAAGCTAGCGCCCTACACAAACCTCTATTACATTAGTAACATCGGGTGTGGTGGCAGCAGTAACAGCAGCGTGCTTCCACCTGGAGGCCCCAGTAACCAGTGTAATGGTCTGACCGGTCGGGGGTACCATGCTCTCCACACTCCCACACTGGATACGAGGCAACATTTCTTGGGAGGAGGTCAAATTTTTCAAAACCTTGGGTGGGGAAATTATGTATTAATGGGAGGGTGACTGGTCAAGGTTAATATTTTTTTAATTTGCTAGGCGTTCACTGTTCATGAGCTATAGATGTGGATTCTCGTGGGGAGGTGATGCACGTTTGTTTACTTTAATAGTAAGGTTCTGTTCAGCACAAGACAGAGGTGATGCGCATTTTGTGTTTTGGAACGCTTGTAACGCTTGTAACTCCTGCTCCCCTGGCCCTCCTGTTACCCCCCTTTAGAGGTTTAGATTTATTTTCTGAACGAAAGCTTAAGAATAACCGAGAAATTAACTCATTTTAATGTCTGTTCCTCATCTAACTATCTAAGAGCTAAAATTGCACGAGAAATCGATTTAACTAGGTCTCAGAACCCACAAACACTTCCTTATCCCTAAAAATTGATATTTTACAGTTAATACAGGCAACAAGCAACATAAATTTTGATCCTCGGTTCAACTCATGACCTTAAATTAAAATCCAGTATTGAAATTGTGCCAGAGACATGGTCAATCAAGGTTATCGTCTGAATCAGGAAAAGGACGATGATAAATATAATCAAATTATCTTCAACCTGCATCAACTAACTAATCAAACTAGAAAATTTGATTTTTTCTGTGCAAAGAACCCAGAAACATCAATGGAACAACAGTTGCCGAGGTAGCGGGTTTTCTTCACTTAATTATAAAAAGCCTAATTAGATTTTTTTCGCCCGCTTTGGACTTGGTACCGAAAACTTTAAACTTCGCTATAATACCTGCCCCAAGACTTATATTAATCATTTTTTCAAGATGTCTGCAATAGCAAACGTATCTTTTTTGTTTTTAGTTACCTTCATCCACCAGAGTTCTGGTTCCTGTGTCCGTCATGGCATGGACTTCTGGGGAGCGGACCTGTGGAATTTTAGTCCTTCCACCTTTGACAGTTGCACAAATTTGTGTAAAGCAGCCACGTCCTGCAAAGCTATTACTTACCAACCTTCCTCCAAAACATGCTGGCTCAAGTACCGAAGAGGAGGAAACCATGGTCCTTCTCTAGTACCAGGACTGATCAGCGCTAACATGAACTGCGAGTACAAGAGAGACCAGAGCTGTGCTAAACACAGCGTGGACTACGGGGGAGCAGACTTGGGTCACAGGACAGCGACCACATTGGACCAGTGCGAGCAGTTCTGTCGAGATACAGAGAGGTGTGTGTCTCTCACATTCAGGGCATCTTCCAGGAGCTGCTGGCTGAAGCATCGCAAGAGTGGAGCCAGAGGACCGAGCACTGTGCACGGCCTTGTAAGTCTCAACATGGAGTGCCCCCCATCTGGAACGCAAACTTCCGGGTAAGTTTATGACATATTATTTATGAAGTCAGATTTCAATGATAATTGATTGAAGTTCTATGATATGATTGAGCACTTTTAACCATTTATAATTTATAAACTGCTTGTTCCAGATGTGTACACAACGACATAGATTTCTGGGGAGCTGACTTGATTAATCTAACAACGGATCGATACAGTGTAAGCAAATGTGAGGGATTCTGTAGGGAAGAGCCTCGCTGTGTTTCCTTTACTTACCGGAGTTCTGATGGACATTGCTGGCTGAAGGGTCAGCAGTACGGAGCGAGGGGACCAAGCCATGCTGTGGGACTCATCAGCATGAACATGAACTGTTCAAAATAAACACTACTAGCTAGAAAATGTAGAGTTGGATATGTTTATTCAGCGAATTTGAGAAAGTTTTAAGTTTTAAGGGTTTTTTAAAGGTTTTTAGTTTCGAAATGACGATTGCCTTTATATTTCGGTTTCAGCTTAACCCCCTAAGTCATTAGTTGAACCGAAAGATCAAAATATATGTTGCTTGTTGCTCGTATTAACTGTAAAACATCAATTTCGAGTGATAAGGAAGTGTTTGTGGGTTCTGAGACCTAGTTAAATCGATTTCTCGTGCAATTTTAGGTGAGGAACAGACATTAAAATGTGTTAACAACAAGTAAAGGTCGATTTCTCGGTTAATTTTAAGCTTTCATTCAGAAAATAAATCTAAACCTCCAAAGGGGGGTAACAGGAGGGCCACTGGGCCAGGGTGGCAGGAGTTACAAGCGTTACAAGCGTTCCATAAGACAAAACGTGCATCACCTCTTTCTTGTGCTGAACAGAACCTTACTATTAAAATAAACAAATGTACCTCACCTCCCCACGAGAATCCACATCTATAGCTCATGAACACCTAGCAAATAAAAAACATTGCCGGAAATATTATGTGCCTAAAATCTGTAAATTCTGTTCGCGACTTTGAAGAAATAATCACCTTGACGGATCCAGGAGGTTTAATCCGGATAGAAGGTGTACCGGGCATGTCAAGCAGTGTTTCACTAGAGCTCTGTCTCCCGTACTGTCTCTTCAACACTTTCTGGTTACCCCCGTTTGTGTGCTTCTTCTTAGAGTTGAGACCGTCTCTCCGTCTCCAGACCATGTCCCCAGAGTCCTGATCCTCGGATACTGCGAAGCTAGAAGAGACACAGGTCTCTTCGGTACCTCGCTTCATAGTATTGCAGGAAGCACGTTTAGTTCTGTTAGCTGGACGCATTGAGCTGTTTGCGGAGGCAATGTTTCGTGGGCTACATTTCTTGGATTTACCCGTTAGTTCATTCAGAGATTCAAAACTGTGGAACCTCCTCAGATTGCATTCGCGTTTTCCATCAGCCAATCTACTGATTAGGCTACTACCTGAGAGCTCTGATTTTCTTTTTGAGGACAAATGTTCGTTGCTAGGTGCTGATAATTTGTTCGGTTCGTCGCAAAAGTTTTTGAACTTCCTTAAGTTTTCTATAATGTCTTGAAATTCCTCTTCGCTCAAAATGTTGTTGAAATCAACGACTGTTCCTTGTTTTTTTAGAACCTGGTAAAATTGTTTATTATTACTTGGTGAAAAACCTATAATGACATGCCTTTAATGACATACCTGAACTTGAACAAAACAAATACTTCTATTTTTTGTATGTCGGTGGGGTTTTCTAACCGCAAAATTACCACAGACAAAGATTTTTTCCCAATCGTTTAATTGACAATTTGCCACTTACTCTTTTATTCCTGTATGTATTTTCACTGTTGTCATTGTTCTGCTGTGATGTGTGGCCATGGCACCGCCTTATGGACTGCTTGATCGTTTTCACGTCCACATTCTTTGTCAGATCCCTGAGCTCCGCTATTACTTGATCCGTGTCCATGTCAGACTGGGAAAGGTATTTTATATTATAGTGATTTTGGATTTGATTTCGTCAACTGTTTAACCTAATCCTGACTAGAAAACTGCATCTGTTTAAACTATTTAAAAAGCTATTTATAATATAAAGTGGTCTGGCACCGGGTTTGTAAGGGTTTCGGTTGTCCTTTTGGGTAAATTCATTATGATATGCAGTGAAATATTTCAATATTTAATTAATAAAACAGCGCTGAACATAGTTTTGTAAAAAGTCTAGGACTAAGTGTTAAAATGTGAATTATCTGGTTATATTGCCTGATAGTAAGGAGTAGAAAGCGATTAAAATAGTTGGACCTTTGCCAACATACTAACATAGTTAGAATATCTTGGACCTTTACCAACATACTAACATAGTTAGAATATCTTGGACCTTTGCCAACATACTAACATAGTTAGAATATCTTGGACCTTTGCCAACATACTAACATAGTTAGAATATCTTGGACCTTTGCCAACATACTAACATAGTTAGAATATCTTGGACCTTTGCCAACATACTAACATAGTTAGAATATCTTGGACCTTTGCCAACATACTAACATAGTTAGAATATCTTGGACCTTTGCCAACATACTAACATAGTTAGAATATCTTGGACCTTTGCCAACATACTAACATAGTTAAAATATCGCGACAACCCAGGATTCTTTATCGACATATTTAGTCAAATACTCACATCAATCTTCAAAAACTTAGTCATCAGTTATGAAATATCCAATTAAGTGACTGTGCACAGAAATCGCATCAAAATTTTAATGTATTTCACACAAACTTTGCAATTTGGTGATAGCTAATAGGTTTGGTTCAGTTTGGTTGGCTAAAATGCCCCGCTTGGGTCGTTTCCTTGCAAGAACATGTTGGGCTCTTACCGTTTTGTCGATATTTTCTGAGGAATCAGTGCTTTTCTTCTGGAGAAGTTCGCTAAAAGCATGACCGTTCGGCTGGTCCGGAGATGGGGTCTTTTTTGTAGGCTTTTTGTGGCGTAAACTGAAAAGTTGTTCTTTATATTGTTTGATACGTAATTATAAATAACGTACCAGAAATGCGAATTCAAAATTTTGCACAGAAATATTATATTTATCTACAAGCAATGATATCATCAACTTCAAGCGCTCCCAGAAATATTTTAATCAGGAAAAAACGACAAAATATTCTGCTGTCGATTATCCAATTAAGTCCATAGCATTATAGTACATTAGTCAATTCTCAGAAGTGTTGTCTGGGATTTGAAATTACTGTCTCGTTCTACAGTTAACTGGTTAACTTAGTGATCAGGTAGTCTGTTAAAATCAAAAATTGATTTAATTACCCATGAATGAAGCTAGGTAAATAAAGGGAATACGTAATACGTATAATAGGTATGTTTACAGACTCAATGTCTATGAGAGGTGCAGCTCATTTGATTTACCGATACTCTAATAGAAGGCAGATCGGTGTTTTATCTGCCGGCAACGTCACGATAATCATTTCATTAATCCTACTGAGGTACTTAATATGCACCCACCCAGTTCCACGTGCAGAGATGAGTACCCGTAATTATCTTCTGCAAAATTCTCCACGTGTCGATCAAGGACCGTAGGGAGGGGCATGCATAACTCGGAACCTTGTAGTGAACACCAAGTGCAGCCATGTAGAGCGCTATAAGCCAGCCAGGCTCCTTTATCTTAGCCTACTAGAGGTTTAACCCGTTAACTGAATGTTCTAGATCTTCGGTGAGCACGTGCTAATGAGGCTTTTAGTCCGACCACCTCTATCCACATTGCACAATATAGGAGGTTCCCTTTAATTTGCAGTTCTCCACGTGTTTTCTTGGCAAATTTTCCGTTTGCTTCGAAATTTCCCAGCTGGATTCGATTTTTAAAGTTCTTTTAGTGGTTACAAATTGATTTATTCTACCAAAATATCCATAAGTATGTCTTGTAAGTGTTCTTCAGCCACTAGAGGCTCTAAAAAGAAGCTCCACAAAGAAATATTGAAAGTTTTCCTTGTTGATGACGAACAATCAGTGCTACATGAGGATCAGTTCGAAAATTTGCAGAAAATCCTCCGCGATTTGGACTTTTCTCACATCCCAAAATTCAACTCGTTCGACACGACTCATATGATGGCAGCACATGAGACTGCAAGAAAGATCTCAAAGATGCCAGTAAAGGAAATGATAAGCACACTTAGCAGTTTGAGAAAACTCTACAGATCTGACCAACTGGTTGAGTACCTCACTCGAGTAAGTCTGTACAAACACAGCGCAACCACCTCCCTCACTCTCCCTCCTCCCCGCCAAACCCTCCCAAGACTCTACTTCGACTGTCACATCCTGGAGACTGGCAGAGAAGCTGTTTGTAACAACACGAGACTAGATCCAGAGCAGAGGTTGTCCTGGTGGAGAGAGGATCCCGGAATAGCAGAGCACCACTACAACTGGCACGTCTACTACCCTTACACTGAGGCTCCCCGAGACAGACAGGGCGAGCTGTTCGCTTACATGCACGAGCAGATGCTCGCTAGATACGACTTTGAGAGGCTAGCTGTGGGTTTCGGGCGGGTCAGAGCATTTGGGCCGGGCTACACTTGGGAGAAACCGTTAAAAGAAGGATACAACCCTAGAATGGAGGGCTTCTCATTCCGGCCCTCTGGAATGCTTATCTCTGAGACTATCAGGATGGAATCAAAGCTGATATTGACTGATGTGTTGCAGAGGAACAAAGAGCGCTTCTTCTACTCGCTAGCAAGAGGGTACTTAGAGCGCCCGGACAGCGCTAAAGTTGAGATAACCATGGACAAGTTGGGCAACACTATGGAGGCTAACATGGGGTCAGTCAACAAGAAACTCTACGGTAACCTCCATAATGATGGACACAACATTTTGTCCACCATTAATGATCCGGATGGTAGATATGACGTAGAGCCTGGGCCCATGATTGCTACTCAGGCAGCACCTAGAGATACTGTATTCTATAGATGGCACAAATTCGTTGATGCCATCTTCGAAGCTTATCGAGTGAATCTCGAGCCGTACTCCGTTAATGACTTAACCATGAAGGATACCGAGGTCAATAACATTCAAATTGTTACAGAAAAGAAGCCGAACCAAGTGAATAATTTGTTCACATTCATGATGGAAAAAAAGTACACTATATACAATCCAGAAAAGAAGGTGGTACAAAAAAAGATTCTAAACCATATTCCGTTTAGTTACAAGTTAAAGGTTCGAAATACAAGTTGCAGAAATAGTATGGTAGTGTTTCGAATTTTCTTGGCGCCTGAAACCGAGGAACTGCTTGATCAATGGAGGAATATGTTCATTGAGCTGGACAAGTTTGTTGCTTACCTTGACCCTGGAGAGGACCGTGAAATTACTCGGTTTGACCACCAATCCTCCGTAATCCTCCCTCCTGAGACCACAGTTCAAGATATTTTAGACGACAACACAAGCCCTCAACAAACGTGTGGGTGTGGCTGGCCTCGGAACCTGCTCATACCTCGTGGAAACACAGCCGGGATGAAAGCGAACTTGTTGGTTCTTGCAACAAACTGGGAGAAAGACGGGGTGAGTCCTGACCAGGTCCTCTCTGGTAGCGTGTCCTATTGTGGTAAGATGGGATACCCTTATCCTGATAAGAAGCCCATGGGGTTCCCCTTTGATCGTGTTACCACGTTTCTTGATGTCAGGGACCTGGCATCTAAACTACCAAACAGTTGTATAGCTGGTGTTACCATTAACTTTCTTGAGGATTACGTGGGGGCAGGTGTTGAAGACATGGCAGAGGACAGTTCTTATGTTCTGGTGTCTGAGTAGAGGGTGATGCAGGGTGTTGAAGGACATGGCAGAGGACGTGGGGCAGGTGTTGAAGACATGGCAGAGGACAGTTCTTATGTTCTGGTGTCTGAGTAGAGGGTGATGCAGGGTGTTGAAGACATGGCAGAGGACAGTTCTTATGTTCTGGTGTCTGAGTAGAGGGATGATGAGGCAGGTTGTACCAGCTGATCTTTATGTTCCAGAGTCCGCTGGGTCTGGGTATTACCTTGTCACAGGTATACGATGTACAGACCTCCACTGGTCTGAGACCCCTGTTCTGGACACCAGACCCCTTTAACTATGTGATTTGGAAGATTGTTGACCAATCAGTTGGAATTTCGTACTATACAATTTGTCGATGTATTAATGTATTGATGTCGATTCACATATTATTACAATTTCAGTTTCTCCTAAATTCATGAAGAATTATTCATTCCCGTTGCTGTATCATATTATTAAGCAGCATAGTTGTTCGTTGTCTTGTTTGAATGAAAACAGGACGCTTTTCAAATAGTTGTAGCTGGAACAATCGATTTGTTGTGTAGAATGTTAAAGATGGACCTCATTTGCTTTTTCGTCAATAATTGTTTTAATGATCATTGAAATTTTATTTATTTATTGAGTTATAGTTTTACTTTTAATGCAAGGACAACAACAAATTGAGCTGTTGGGTACGTGTTATCAACAAATTTAAAAACAGACAGTTAAGGAGTGTAGGATAATGTAGGATAATGTAGGATAGCAATTTGCAGTACCTGAGAAATCGCTGGCCGTTCCTGTAGATATTGAGAAGGATGATGCAATAGAGAACTGTGGTCACCATGAGAGGTATGAGAAGAAGGAGCCCCGACATTATCGTCTCTACTAGAATCTTTACTATCACTGTGTTGTATTCTTCATCCACACAAAACCCTTTCATCCCTTTATACCTAGGGGAGTTCAGCAGACTACAGTCCTTTAGATTATAAATTGAATTTCAGAATAAGAACAGGTGGACATTTAGTATTCGTATTGTCTTCTACTTTGTTCATTCAACCTAAAAAGTATACTCTTGTATGGAGAGGTCGTATAACGATTCACACTGCCATAGTCAGTGTAATTACTAATTAGTCAGTGTAATTACTAATTAGTCAGTGTAATTACTAATTAGTCAGTGTAATTACTAATTAGTCAGTGTTATTACTAATTAGTCAGTGTAATTACTAATTAGTCAGTGTAATTACTAATTAGTCAGTGTAATTACTAATTAGTCAGTGTAATTACTAATAAGTCAGTGTAATTACTAATTAGTCAGTGTAATTACTAATTAGTCAGTGTAATTACTAATAAATCCATGTAATTAGCACATAGTCAGTGTAATTACTAATTAGTCAGTGTAATTAGCACATATCAGTGTAATTAGCACAGCATTTTCTGTATCTGATTTTGATAAATTTAAATCGTAACAACATACTTGGGACCTCCATCAAACTTCCAAATGATCACATCTTTGAGTACAGTAGCTCCAACAATGCAGACCCAACAGATGGTCACTAGTTGTATCATCCGGCTCTTCGCCATTATTGTGTGGTATTTTAGGGGTAGCTGTATTGCTATGTACCTGAATGTGAGCGTGGTTATAATTTGTTGAGCACTTTACTTCGAACCTTGGCATCTTTGTATTTCAAAAAGCTCAAGCTATAATTCAAGACACTGGTTTTAATGAATGTTATTTAATTAAAAACAAGTAAGTGTTGGGAGTACCCCCCACCCACCCACCCCCCCAGAATCCTGACCTTTCAAAGGCGATGAGTAGGATTGTAGCGCAGTTAGCAGTGGAGGCGATAACAACGTGGTTATTAGACAGGAAACAGAGGGGACTTCTGTTGAAGAGGTGGAGGCTCTCTCCACCGTGTATCATACTGTACCCCAACACTGGTGTGTAAGCTGAAATGTTAGGAGAACTAGACCATAATCAGGACTTTGAGGATTTGCGCACTGAATATCGACAAACAGTATACAATGTATGAATCGACGTGCACGTTATATCGCCATGTGATCCAGAAACTAGTACACTGTATATCGACATACACTGTATATTGACAATAATTATACTTAATTTTATTCAACGATAAAAATACAGTGTGATTATGCTGACTTTGGGGTATATGTCGCATATTTCAGCCATGTGACCACGTGCACTTATATCTGAATTTCCCGAATTATGCATGATATTGATAGGTATCCTGATAATGATAAAGAAACGTGCTTTAATCTTAAAATTATGAATTAATGACCACTAGCAAACTTTGACGCGATTAATTATGTAATATGTATTGCTTGACCAGCAGTCATAGTAGACTAACACGTATAATAAAATAACGTACCAGATAGTAGAATATCAGTAACACACAGGTTAATGAGGAAGACATTGACTTTCCCTGACACTTTATTGAGACAAGGCCAGGATAAGCAGCAGGTTTCCAAACACAGAGGAAACCCCAGTCAGTGTGGCAATTATCACCGTTACCGCCACTTTTACACATACCATCTTTTAATCTGAAGGTTGCGGACATATGAGTTACTTTTCTTAGATTCCAATTTAATGTTAATTTAATGGTCTGAACTCTACATAACCACGTGGAACAAAGCGGAAATAATGGCAAAAAGAAAATAGAAACCGTTTTGGGCCTTCTGAAATATAAATTTTTACGCTGCTCACGACAAACGCTAATATAACTGCTGCTAAAATTTCTAATGTTTCTACTGCAATTCATGAACAATGAACATACAGAAAATCCTTTACATAATCTGGTTAAAACTTAAAACACAATTCAGTAGAACCAGTAGCTTGCCACGTGAGGGGTGAACTGGTTGAGACATGAGACATTTCATCGCATGTCTCAACCAGTTCACAAGTCGGTCCTAGGAGGATCATCGGCCCTTAAAATTTGATCTGTAATATCCCGAAATACGATTTCTTTCTCCTTTCGCTGAAAAGCGGGTCTAGAAGAACTTTGAAAGATAATGAGTTTTGGCGTTTATTTTGTGAGTAAGATAAACATAAGATAACAAAGATGCAGGAGTCAACATTTACCAAAAGTAATTTTAGTTAAACAAAGATAGTCGGAGCCTAATAGTAATAGGTTGGGCGCGATTTTGGGAGGTGAATGTTTCTGATTTATGGGTGTACCCCGGTCACATTTGTTAACCGGCGGTGGTGTGAATCCCACCTAAAGCTGTGTATAGGAATGAAATTGTAGGGAAATTGTTGCGCTTATGCTAAATTTGTATCATCAGATTGAAAAATGGTTCATTGAAGATCACCGAAGAAATTAGAAATAGTACCAGCGACGGTTTTCGCAAAATATTATGATCCAAAAACACGTTTGCACGACGCACGTGCAAGTGCTCTATTTGCACGAGTAAAATAGCATTTTCGAGTCAACATTCTCAGCCTCAGGGAGGTGCTACCAATGTGCTGCAATGAGTCACGCTAATAATGAACTATTTGAAAAATGCATAAAACCTTGCCACAGTGAATATTGATCTGCTTGAAAGTGTGCTCTGTGCACAGCTCGCACTATGCTGTGAGAGTTCGCAGGGGTTACGTCATGCAGTTGTGGACAAAGTAGAGGTCGAGTTAATTGTTAGAGACAACTGTGAACTGTACGCCCATATTCATTATCCATGATCCAGTATTTCATTAATTTCCCCTATACAAGTTGATTTAATTGTTACAAGGCAATTTCCGAAAAAACACAATTAAATTTTACCAATTTACTGCCATGACACCCTCAACTGTCACGTCGCCTGAGTGCACTTCTATCTCAATCAAAGACCTTGTTACATCGTAATAACTAAGCTCTAAGAGTGCCTTTTTTCGTGGATTTTTAGCGAGACTATTTTGTCTAGCTCTATTTTAAAATGAATGTAACAAAGTGTAGCTTACTGGGCGGCGCTCAGCCTGTCATTCCGCCTAATCTCTATTCTATGATTATGAACATAATATAATAGCCTAGGGGTCCCCTGGTGAGGTGTAGCAAGTGTTTAGACAAATTACGTTGGTATCTTTTAGGCTGTGTGGTCCTGTTTGATAGTTGTGTGACATGAAATTAGGGCTCTTGCTTAGTGATGCATGAATTCGAAATCAATAATCATAGTTTGATTAATAATAAATTTAAAAAAACTTCCACCGTTAAATGTATCATAATAATAACGCAAAATTTTGGAGAGATAAAAGACTGAATCGGATCAGGAGATAGGGTTCATACCGCAATTACAGAATATATTGCGGTCGAACAACTAAAAGTAAAACCGAAATTTGTAGCGAACTTGGTAGCCACAGTGCGCGCAGTAATAGTATTCTTTGCACATTCGAAATGCGTTATTGCCTTTTTTATGAAAGGTATTTAATTAAGGGACTAATATAACTGACGTGGCCTCTCTAGATTGATAGAACCGGGACCTTTACGTCACTCCCCGAAATAATAACTTTGATGTAAATCAAACCTTTTGAATGGAGAAATGTTCAAAACGAAGACAGGTTGGTGGCACCCTTATTATCATATTCATTAATCAATATTCTGGTTTTGGTACGACAATACCGGATTTGGAGTTATTAATCGACTTATAATCCAAGGAGATACTTCGCGTAATTCGAATTTTAAAAGACCTTTGGATACGTATAGAGTTGAACAGTAAGCACTAGGCATAGTGGGAGTACGAGGCATCTCATTAATAATACTTACAATACTACTTCTACTACTACTAGTTGCAGGTATATTTTATAACATCTTTAAATAAGCAGCTCTGTATAAGGTAGGTCAGAAAATACATCAAGTTAAGTGAGTCCATATGATAAAATATTTTTCTGTCTACAATAATATTTTAACTACATACAGAGGACGAGTTAACTGTTGTTAAGAACGCGTAACCATGGTAACAGTCCAGTAACCATGTTAACAGTCCAGTAACCATGTTAACAGTCCAGTAACCATTTTAACAGTCCGGTAACCATGTTAACAGTCCAGTAACCATGTTAACAGTCCAGTAACCATGTTAACAGTCCAGTAACCATGGTAACAGTCCAGTAACCATGGTAACAGTCCAGTAACCATGGTAACAGTCCAGTAACCATGGTAACAGTCCAGTAACCATGGTAACAGTCCAGTAACCATGGTAACAGTCCAGTTACCATGGTAACAGTCCAGTAACCATGGTAACAGTCCAGTAACCATGGTAACAGTCCAGTAACCATGGTAACAGTCCAGTGACCATGGTAACAGTCCAGTGACCATGTTAACAGTCCAGTAACCATGGTAACAGTCCAGTAACCATGGTAACAGTCCAGTAACCATGGTAACAGTCCAGTAACCATGGTAACAGTCCAGTAACCATGGTAACAGTCCAGTAACCATGGTAACAGTCCAGTAACCATGGTAACAGTCCAGTAACCATGGTAACAGTCCAGTAACCATGGTAACAGTCCAGTAACCATGGTAACAGTCCATTAACCATGGTAACAGTCCAGTAACCATGGTAACAGTCCAGTGCTCGTAACAGTAGTACGAAATAGGAAATCTATCACTGGAGGCTGGAGCTCGAATAAATCAAATTGCAGGACCATAGAAATGCAATGTTCCCATTTGTAAAAGTGACAAGTAGTACGGCCATAGACCACTTTATATGGTTTAATAGACAAGTGATAAGGCACAGGTTAAGGAAACGGTCATTATTTCGAGAAAATTAATTTTCAATTTTAGTGACGAGGAAATTTGAAAATAACATTGAAAAGACAATTTGTTTGATGAAGATTTGAGAGCGATTGTCGAGATATGTAATGATTGGTTTATGATTTGCAGACACGAGTAAAGTAATGCAGAACCGGACTAATCTCAAATTCTACTAGTACTACCTTTCCGTTAACTAATATTATTATATTAGTTATAATCATAGCAGCACTGCTGTTATTTAATTTGCATAGTTATTCGTATTACGTCGGAATCGCTGTTTAGTTGAATTTGAATTCAACCAACAAACATACAAGTTGCCGCTGATCAATTCCATAATTTTAACGACCGCTCACGAGTTGGTCTGATCAATTTAAGGCCGTCAAGGTATATTCATATTGTAATTAACTGAAAGTTAGCAATATACCAAGAAAGCCCAAGTTTGAAGCTCAGATAATTTTCTTCTAAATGTATTGACATTATTGTATTAATGAGGTTAATAGTAAGATATACGCAGGCACGTAGACAGGGGGGGGGGCTAGGGGGCTGCGCCCCCAGACCCCTGCCACAGCTTGCTCGCTGCGCAGCTGGATTGGACACATCAGCTCGCTTCGCTCGCCGACAGCCCCCCCCCCCCCCCCCCCAAGAAAAATCCTGGCTACGTCCCTGGATATACGCATGGAATTCCGAATAGCACATTGATTTAAAAAAGGGCGCACGGAATTCCGACACACACTTTGTAGACATCAGAATTGATGTCGACTACAGGATTGGCCTCAGGATTTTTCCTGCGTCCAGTAACGAAGGCGACAGTGAAAGGAATGATTGCGAATGATTTCCTAGCTCCATTTGTGTATTTATACCAAAATTATAACATCTCATTTGACCAGTTTGTGACTGGTCAGATCACTTCACTCGAGACCTGTCAGGGTCAAATCTCTGCATTAAGGCAGGTCACATTAAGTCGATTAAAGAGCATCTCTGATTCACATGAGGCAGCATGTGACCTTTCAATTTTCATAACATACCATCTGTTGTATTACTCACTTTCATTACTCGTGGCCAAATAATTTCGTAAAATCAATTTAAGACGCAAACGTTTAGGAGTTTTTAAAACACGGCCCTAACTCCGGTAACTCCTAAATAGAACCAGAAATGGTGCACCTACGAGGGCGGCCAAATAAAAGCAACTACAAGTTATCAAGAAGTAAGGATTAGGTGCGGCCAAATAAAAGCAACTACAAGTTATCAAGAAGTAAGGATTAGGTGGGGGGTGCAGCCTGTGAGTGGAAGGTAGTTGTAGTGTGGCATGCTATTATGATACTACAATACTATTATCTTGTAGTAACCTGTCAAGACGGCTGGTGGGCAGTATTGAGTAGCGCGGTATCATGTGCTGAGTGCCTCATCTACTTCATCACAATATCATATCTTTCACTGTTCTAATTAAACAGCCGGAGATACGGACTATTACTACTACTGTTACTACTACTGTTACTACTACTGTTACTACTACTGTTACTTAACTTAACACTCGGTGTCTTAACAAATAGGTATGTTTGACGTTTGTAATGACTAATCAGTCATCACAATCCATCGTGATTATTGAAAGTTTTGATTATGACTCACAGGTTATTTCCGACTGATATGTGAGCCTTTTGTAGTTAGGATAACTGGCCAAGCTTATGAACTGGCATAATCATAACGGTATATATATCTACTGATGTATCAGTAACTTCATTAGAGCTAAGAATCTGACGAAACAACGGTAATTAACTGTGCGAACACTACAAATATCCGGACTAACACTAGCTCAAAGCTCTGAGTGGCCCTTTTTCTCTGTACATAATTGGGGCCTGCTCACAAGACATAATGGGTAGCTCAAAGTTTAGGTCCGATAAGGTAAGTTAGTTTTGTAGGTTCGATCACGCGGCTCAAACCAATTAACATGTGGTTGTGAAATCTGAGCCGCGCACCCGAACTGATTCTAGAACCAAACCTGCACTAAAAGTAAAGCTACTACTGTCAGTCGAACGGATGCTGAATTGCGAATCTTAATATTCGATACGCAGAACCTTCAAGGTGAATCATTGCAAGGCACAAAATAAACCGAGTGGTTCCCTGGACCTACGAGCAACACTCCATTTTATTACCTTGGCAACGGACAAAAGGGACCTCCGCTATAAATCATCCTTTGTCTTGCTTAAAATGTGTGCTTTCAGGCGACTACAACTACAATAGTCTAGCTGTAAATGGTTTATGAACAATGTGTCTCCTTAAATCATGGTATTAGATTTGAGTGATTTTTCAGGATTTCAATAATATGTGTCTGATCATTCTTTACAAGGCAATGTCTGATCGCTTAACACGTGATACATGATATTCGTCTGATTATTCCATCGGTTATCAACTGTGAGTGTGAGAATTTGATTATTGTCTAGTACTCAGTAATTGGTGCAATAACACCTGTTTCTATAATCTTGTAGTTGTAGTTATATCCGGGTTTTAAAAGAACTAGATCGCTACTTAAATCTCAGAAACTTCCGGCAAGTGGCAACCCATCTATTTTTCCTGGAGGGGGATATTTAAAACATATAAGTGATACGAAAGGATTTTATTAGCAGGAGCTTTCAAAATACTTGTGTAAATCGGCTTCAGCTCTATTTTTATTTGGCTCGTTATGATTCTTGGTTTTTAGCCGATAATAGTAATTCTATATTTAAACACAGAACAGAACACAGTAGCTGATACAGTGATACAGAGGGTTGTTTTTATTTGAAAATATTCCCAGCGTTAAACTTTATTTACTTAACATACCTCCAATAAAATGTAGAAGGTTTTGTTAAAAGATATCATGACATAATTTTTAATGACCAGTAATACAGCTTATTTTCTCAGGTTTTAGGTTGATCCTCCACTTCAAAGCAACAAGCAAGTTCAGAGTTTAACTGAATTGAATGTGCCACTGCCAGCACTTCCGACGCACCGACAGCTTCCTGTACTCTTTAAATGATAACACTTCACCATTTTCCTGATTTATTGTGTGATAACAGTTTTAACCATTATATAAAACGGTCTAAAACACTGCAAAATAACTATGCGTTTATGGGCATTTTTATAACAAGACACTAACAGTTTGAACAATGAATTTATTAATATTTATGTTCTAGATCAGGTTGTTGCACATCGCCTGTTTTTGATATTTATTATTTGTCATATTAGATTATTCTCTCTTCTTATTTTGTTCTTATAAATATATAGTAGTAGTAGTAGTAAATCTTTCAAAGTACGAAATATCTCTTTAAAAGAGCATCCTAGGCACCTTATAGATATCAAAACGCATAAAAAAGAAAACAAAAACATCAACCATCTTCTAACTTCTTCCACTCCTCCCTATCTAAAGCTAAAAATCTAAGGTCTTCGAAATCAGTCAAATTCTTAAGTCTAATATCAAGATTTCTACTAGTCAAGTCTTTTCTAATAACATCTAATAAGTTTAAACATGGTCTACCCCGTCTCCCTTCCATAAAAATATCAGAATTTATAGCAAATAACATAGAGGTGTATGCTGGTGAGTCTTCCTGTCCTCTTAAGATATGTCCTAACATTCTCCATCGAAACTTAGAGACTCTCACAGACAAGGGAGTGACATAACAACGAGCATAGAGTGCCTCATTAGAAATAACCCCAGTAGGCCATCTGATGTTGAGGATTCTTCGGAGGTGTTTGCGATGAGCAATATCAAGTTCATTCAACGAAGCTAGTGGTGCAGCCCAGGAGTTGCAGTTGTAGAGTAGAATAGAGACTACTTGTGCCTCGTAGATTTTGATCTTCCTTTGGACTGAAATCTTGCTCTTCATCCAAACTTTCTGAAATTTACTAAAGGCAACATTACCAAGGAATATTCGATTCTTGATATCCTTAACAGTGCACATCAACGATCCTAAAGTTTTGTTAGAGCGCCACTCTTCATCACCTCTATACACTTTTCCAACAATCACCTTGCGTTTAACAGTGGGTTTAGGATCTGCTAAATAAAAATGGACAAATTCAGTCTTGGAAGAATTGATATGAAGGTCCCACTGCTGGAATATATCTTTAGCGATAGGAAGCATTTCTTTGAGTGGAGCAAGTTCAGTGTTATTAAAGTCAATATCATCAGAGTATCCTGTTTCGAGTGGCATGAATTCTTCTGAGATAGGAGGATTAGGGATTGGATGATTCACTGGGTAAGGTGTTGATGATACTTGGGAGAGTACAGATCTGAGGTGAATAAGTGCAGCGGCTTCAACAACAGTAAATAGATTACCTGATAGTGCATCTCCTTGAAATGCTCCAGTTGTGCTTTGGAACTCAATTGATACAGTATTATTGACTTTTACTTTCAACACTGTGTTTGATAGTAGGAGCCGTACCATCCTAATTTCATCACTAGTACAGCCAGCATCTTCAAGAACATTGAGTACTGTTTCTCTGCTGATGGTGTCAAAGGCACTTGACATGTCTATACTCATTCTGTGGTAGCTCCAATGCTTTCTAAGTACCACTGAGGTTAGCATACGTTGAGACCAAATTATATCGCCACAACTTCTACCTCTCTTGTAAGCACTTTGTGTAGGACCGGTGTACTGATCTAGCTTGCCTTGGATACGTTTTAGGGTAATCATTGACAGTAATTTTCTGGAGCAGTTTGAGAGGGTGAGAGGTCTGATGTTTGCTGCTGGACCAAGTGGTTTCTTAGGCTTTTGGAGTGGAGTAATGTTGCCTTTTCCAATAGATGTTATGGTGGTGTTTGTTTCAAATGCGGTATTTATACAGTCTGCATATTTCTGAAATACACTTCTGTTTGCATACTTAATCAATTCACTTGGGATATCATCAGGCCCAGTGGCTCTACCATTCTTCAAAGCTTTAGCAGCTATCTCAACTTCAATAGCAGTAATAGGGTCAGCGAGAGGACTAGGTTGATCAAAGAAAGTGTCAATAGGCTCAACTGTATGTTTTGCAGTGAACTTCTCTTCAAAGTGGTTCTTTAGTGTAGCAGCTTTTCCAGTGTCTGTACCTATGAAGTTAGAGTTTTCATCATGCACACTTATGGTTGGAGCACGTTTGATACCTGCTAGTTGGCGAGTGGCTGCAAAGTATGCTCTAGAACTATCAGTTTCGTTTATCTCTTCAGCAAGAGTGTCTGCATGCTCTTCTTGAAGGAGCTTGATTCTCTTACGAGTGTCATTTTGAATACGATTGATTTTGGTACGTATAACTGATCTATCTTCAGAGGTGTTGTTCTGATTGAGTAGAGCTTGTAGAACTTTCTTTTCATCAGACATCTCTCGAATTTCAAGGTCATTACAAAAGTTTTTAGGGCGTTTCCTAGGAAGGTATCCAATACTAACCTCAGCAGCTTTATGCACATTGTGAAACAAACTATTCATTTCTTCCTCAGGGTTAGGATTAACAGGGCTGTCTGTTAGAATATCATTCAATGTGTTGTTGTAATGCATTTTAGCAGCAGGATTACTGACAAGGGTTGTGATATCAAAATGCATTTTAGGTTTCTGTTTGGGGAAGACAAGGTGAGCGTCACTGAAGTTGAAACGTGTAATAACAATTTTGTGATCAGATTTAACAAGAGTACCCCCATAACTTCGAGAATTCACTAAAAGTTTCTTCAATCGACTGCTACATAGGACATAGTCAATTTGAGAGTAGTAGGGCAAAGTGCGATGTGAGTTTTTAGGAGTTGAGTAGTCTTTCATAAAACCAATTCTTGTTGTTATATGACGGACAGGGTGCTGGAAGCTAGTGTTGCAAGCAAAAAGTTTTTTTTTCAACAAGAAAATTAAGAAGATGCTCTCCATTTGAATTCCTCTTTCCAGACCCATACATACCCATAAAGTCATTATACCCGAAAACAATATCTGAATGAGACAATTTACCGAGTCGAGAGTTGAAATCTCCAAGAATATATAAGTCCCAACTTGATGGGATATCAACAGCTTTGCCAAGAAACTTGTAGAAATAATCACGTCTCTGCGGATACTTATCACAATTTACTTGAGTGTGTCCATAGGCATTGATAACACGGCAAAGTCTTGGTTTACCTGATTTACTTGGTATCTCAAGATCTAGATAAGCAACCCTGTCACTGATACTGTTGTAACACTTGATGTAGTTGGTATAGACTGAATTTACAAGAAAACCAATACCTGCTTGCCACTTATTGTCAAATTGCTGAAAGTTTATGAAGCGATATTTGTGTGATTTCCCATCATCTGTTGTAAAATGCAAAACTGAATCCTCAAAGTGACGACATTTTGTTTCTTGCACAGCGAGAATGTCTATTTTACGATAATAGCAATCTCTCAAAAGTTCATCCCGTTTAACTGGAGAAGTAACACCCAGGACATTAAAAGTAGCTAGAGTGAAGATTAGTGCTGTGCTTCTTCTTTTGCGTTCTGATGTAGATAATCTACTCTGTACGTTGCCGCCAGAGCATCTGCCGAAATCACTCGAACAGGCCATTATAAATATATACAATATACAATATATGTGTAATATATTCAATTGTTTTCAGTCTCTAACCGAAATTCTTATTACAAATATGCGATGACTGATGACGTACGTTATAGTTATACGTCTCCTTTACTAGCTGCGCTCCTTAATCACTCTCCTTATTTTTTTAAATCTTGTGAAAAGCTGTCCTGAGGGTGTGTTATACTTCGTTATATTTCGTAATAGTAATACCCCTGGTTTCCCAGACCTGATTAACGAGGGTGATACTGGTAAATATTTGTATCACGTCGTGACCCCCATTTTCGTTCCACTATAGCGTAGAGTTTCTACGATACAGGGGGAGCCTTGCACTCGTGCGCGGCGGGATATACAACGTATGACATTAAATATTTGTTCCAAAGACCGTCGAGTGTCGAAGAGTCCAACTCGGCGCGCTTCTTGGTAGATAAAGATTATAAAACAAAGACCTGTACTGGTAACATCCCGCTTTTCTCTATCCAGAGCTCCTGCGCTTGCAATAGCGTGCCGTACGCGTCCGGATTTTACTAATTCACTCGCCAGCGCGCTATCACGTGTTTTTAATGCCGTGATTTCATTGGTCACCTCTATAACGCGCATTGTTTGTGACAGGACAGTTTTTTCACATAATTTGTCAACCGCGCGTGCAATAAACTCAATTTAAGCTCCGCTTTGTGACCGAAATGGGCCCTAATATGGAATTTATGCAACGCATGGCCGGTAATTAGCTAATTGAATTTTCGGCACAAGGACCAGGTTGCATATTACATATACTTAAATACAGTGTAACATATTTTATTATTTTATTATGTCAATTAATTATATTAATTACGTCGCAAGAATGTTATCTGGTTCTTGTACCAGCTAGCTGCATGTTTGAAGAATTAAAACAAAATTTTATGACGACTCGTCATTGAGCTGTTAGAATTATAATAACAACATGTAAAGATGTAAAGATGTAAAGATCGGTAATCTTTAATATAAACGCTACAGTTGATAAAATAAATGAAGGCAAAAAAAATCATTAACAAAATATATCGCTGATCGCCTTATAAAAGTGATAAAATAACTGCAGTTGTTAAATAGAACTCAAAGAGTCTGAATGAAATTAACAATATCGGGAGCAATTAACAGTAACTGACCAAAACCAATAATCAATCATTATATTTTGATACTTCATTATATTTTGATACTTCAGATTCCCCCCCATCTACTGGAAATCATTAAACTATTAAATAGAAGGAACTAGATGTACTGATTACTTAATGATCTTTTAATCTAATTGTCCCTATCTACTGGAAATTATTGAATTGTTAAATAAAAGGAACTAGAATACTAGATGTACTGATTACTTAATGATATTTAAATCTAATTGTCCCCATCTACTGGAAATTATTAAAAAGAAGGAACTAGATGTACTGATTACTTAATGATCTTTAAATATAATTGTCCCTATCTACTGGAAATTATTAAATTATTAAATAGAAAGAACTAGATGTACTGATAACTTATACTCAATGATCTCTAAATCTAATTGTCCCCATCTACTGGAGATCATTAAACTATTAAAAAGTGATTACTTAATGATCTTTAAATCTAATTGTCCCCATCTACTGGAAATCATTAAACTATTAAAAAGTGATTACTTGATG